TTAACAAGACTGTAACTATGTACAGAAGTAGAAAGCCTCATCTTTCTCCGGGGGAGCTGGCTGGTGGTTTTGAACTGCTGACCTTGTGGGTGTTGCAGCTCAACCTGTAACCACTATGCCACCAGGTTTCCTTATCCTCCTTAATTCCATACAGTTGCTTACCTAGCCTTTCTCATTACTTTCAGTGCCCTGACAGCAGCTCTGTCCAAGGAGCTATTAAGAATGCACTTGATGGAAAGAACACCTGACTGGAGCCAGGGAACTAGGTTCAAGACCTATGGCTGCCAATTTCTTGCGGGGTTTCTTTGGGCAGTTACTTACCTTCTCTGTGCCTCAATTTATTCACCTGCAAAATGAGAACTCTAAAACCTAGCTTGTTCCTTCCTAAGTTAGGAACAAATAAGATATATGTACTAAATCATTACATGAATAGTTTTTTAACATGATTCTAGTGACTCTCACTATGCTTGTTTGGGAAGTGAAAAGGAGGCTGTTATTAAAGGAGCGCTGGGGTGCAGGGGTTAAGCACCAAATTGAAAGGTCAGCAGTTAAAATCCACTAGCTGCTCAGCAGGAAAAATATGTAAGGTATATGGAAGTCTGTTTCCATGGATTCTTTCCTTGAAAACCTGGGAGAGTTCTACCCTGTCCTGTCAGGTTACTAGGAATCGGAGTCCGCCGGACAGCAATAGGCTTCGGCGGGTTTTTGTTTGATTTTTCCCATTTGATGGCAGGACTGGGATCCTCTCTCCGGACATCATCAAAAGGCAGGGGGTGGACCAAATGGGTTCTCAGATTCCTTTCCATTCTGACATCCAGCGAAGTATAAAAATCGTCAACCAGACTGGGCCAAGCAAGGACGTGGAATGCTGTCCATGGTCCTGAAGCATGCTGTGCAAGTGAGTTCCCCTGGGAAAACCAACTCCTTCCTTCCTTCCTTCCTTCCTTCCTTTTACCCCTTTACAGTCACCTCCCCATCCCCAATCCTACTCATCAACCATTCGTCTGTTTCCCATCACTTTAATTTTGCCATTTGAAGAAAATTATAAATGGAGCTCTGGTGAGGCTGTTAGCTAGGCTTTGGACTCTAACAGCAAGGTCATGGTTCAAACTCACCTGTTGCACTCAAAGGGAAGAAGATGCGGCTATCCGCTCCTGTAAAGAATTACATGATTTTGGGGAGATGATGGAATAGTTCCATTACTCAAACCTCTCCATTTGTTAAACATGCATAGAATTATACACTGAGAGAAGAGGATGTGGAAGAAAAATGAGGACCTAATGTGGGGGTTTAAGTGGAGAGAAAATGTTTTGAGAATGATGTACAAATGCGCTTTACACAATTGATGTGTGTATGGATTGCGATAACAGTTGTATGAGCCCCTAATAAAATGTTTAAAAAAAACCTAGTGAAATTTGAATAAGGTGTATAGTGGAATTAAGTGTGTCAATGTCAATTTCCTGGTTTTAGATAATGTATCATGCTATCACAGGGGAAGCTGGGAGAATGATTCATGGGAACTCAGTACTCTTTTTGCACCTTCTTGTGTGTATTAAACCGTTTCAAAGCAAAGCAAATATAAAAACAGGCAAATATTCTTAGGAGTTATATATAGGGTTATATATTAAGAGCTCATATAATGTTGCTATAAGTCAGAATCAATCGCATAATATGTAATCTTTTGAGATTAGTGCTTTTTTTATTTAGAATGATTCCCTTCAGATTTATCCAAGTTGTATGTGTTCATGGTTCATTCTTTTTCATGCCAAGTAGTATCCCATTGTATAGATATTATCACCAGGTAACTATTGACCTTTCGAAGTACATACACTTGGGTTTGTATACTGTGTAATTATTTAATTTGATCCTCCAAAGTAATTTCCAGAGAGCTAGGTCAAGGGTTCTTAAGTCTCAACACAGTGGGTCTGGGGTTCAGACTGGGCCTGCAATTTTTTTTTTAATTTCTAGGCAATTCTAATTAGGGAACCAATGAGATACATGGTTGTATTGCAGTTGTACAGATGAAGAAATTAATGTTCAGCAAATAAACGTGATTTGTTTAAGGTTGCATGACTTGGGGGAACCACAATGTCAAACTAGAGCTCTCAGGGAAAAAGTTTTACCACAAGCTATCCTGGCTCTGGGAGACCTAATCCTTTAAAATCAAGAGTCTGTGAGGGAAGAGCAACAGGTGGCTAAGAGCTGAGTCCCAGAAAGCAAAGAGAGTGGTCAGTAATGCCGGAGGCTACAGAGGATGTAGCATGTGGGAGAACTGGGGATGCCCAACTCATGTGTCTGTGGTACCCAAGTCTGGCATTAGAGGACGATGAAGGCACAGTCCTGGCATGCAGCAGGGCATTTTCTCAGGAAACCCAGCCAGCTGGAAGGAGTTATGGATTGAGGCTCAGCCAAGATCACTCCTTCAAAGGACAGCCTGTACTAAAACTATTAAAATGAAATATCTGGGCCTGTGGAATGGGATGTCCACAGAAGGCCAGTAGGTAGAAGTCTCACAAAGGAAGCTCAGTTTGGAATCTCAGGTAAGTTATTCATAAAATGCACACTGTCACCCACTCTAGAATTCCCATGACCATTATCCCTGTATTGGATTATTCACTTTTTGCCTCATTTTCTTCTGCTCCATGCCTTTTGCCTTTGGGGTACTGCTTCTGTTGTGTGGTGGAAAGGAAAAAAGGTGGGACTTTTTACAACTTTTAGTAATTCTGAGTAGCAATGGTTAAAATGGGACTGGAACTATAACCCTTCAGAAGTAAAAATCTTCCAATTACCTGCAGTTATTTAAGTTCCAAATTAGAATTGCCTAAGAACTACAGCCTAGAGCTAAAAAAAAAACTTAGGATAATTAATGTCAGCTGTGTTCTCTCCCAAGGAAGTGCTTAGACAGTGGTTCTCAAGCTGTGGGTCATGACCCCTTTTGGGG